TACTTTCATCTCTCTCTTCACTTTGCAGTTCTCTTTTTTTCCCCCATGTTTCTGTCATTTTGTGGTAGAGAAAAAGACAGATTTTATCCTTGTGTCATGGAAAATGATGCCATGATTCAGTAACACCACACATAAAGGAACAGGAGCTGACAGATGCAGAGGAATTTCTGTGCCACATCAGACTAATGGTGCACTGCCATAGTTCAGTGCAGAATCAGACAGTTGGAGATGTCTGTGCCTCTGGAACTGATGGCTCTGCTCCTCAGCATTTAGGAGACCTGCTGCCAGCTCTGTGACAGTCACTCTGCAGTGTCTGTCACTCCAGGAAAATACAGAACAGGCTTTTCAACAGGAACAGGCGTTTCTTTCACATTGCTGCTGGTTTGGGACATGCTGAGCCTCGTGCACTCACTCTGCTTCTCACTGCTCATGTGTGCATCGAGCAGCAGCTCACACACCTTACCTTCAGCCTTGTGAGGTTCTCAGGGGATCACTGCTCACTTTAATTAGCTGGCAGGGCATGCCAGGAGTTCTGGGCATCTAACAGGCTTCTTTCTTTGCTTCTGTGCCCTCTCTGTCACTCTTCACATCAGGCATTTTAAGTTTGGTGATATATCCCAACCTTTGTTGGGTAGGATAATGGGCCACAGCTGCCAGGCACACTGTTCTGCTGCAGCTTTGAAATATCTTTAGATTGTTTATTAAAGGAACTCCTGTTTTCAAAAAGATGTCTGACATGTAAAATAGGAAAAAAATTCAAATGGGAGGTGGCAAAAATGCAGCAGTGGCCTGTGGGACTCGGTGTCAGTTGTCTGCCTGTAGTTTTTCCACAGAACAGATGACAAGCACTTGTTGGTGTTGTCAGCTCAGAGAAGAGATGGCATTTTGTGAAGGCTGCCATTCTTTCCTGCGTAGTTTGAGGTAAAGAATGAGGTGTTTTGCAACATGTAGTTCCAATTCTGCCTTTAAATGTGTGCCAAACTGTGCTGTTGCCAGTTCTGTAGAGAAAGTGAGCGTGTGTAGGTGTGGGTGAGGGGGCAAATTTCATTGCAAGGGCTGATCTGTGAGCAGTTCTCCAAGCTAAGCAATGTGAGCCTAATGTTCTGATTCCAGGGGGACGCTCAGCACTGCACGGTGAAATTGCTTATTAAATTACAATCGAGAAAAAAAATCAGGAGATAGACACTGTTCAGCTGGCAGCATGGAGGGCAAAGGAAGGCTGGATTCTAATTATTGGAATAGCAGAGTTGGTGTTATTTCACTATGTGGAAACAAAATTAGGTTGTCACTGATACCATTATTAATGTATGAGAAGAGGCAGAAAAACAATTTGGTTCCTAACACCCCTTCTGCCCCTCCTACCACCTCCCAAAAAGACAGAGAATAAACTAAAAGCAAAATGGACTTGCATAAGTGCTCTCTAATGTGGGCAGCTGTGACAGATTTCATTGCTGTAGCAGTACAATGTAGATGATTTATAAATTATCCTAATTTGAAGGCGAGGCGTTGTGTAAACATCATTGCATTTATTATTTTCCCAGTTAGATCAAAATGTAAAAAGGCATAGCCAAAACCAGTAACACTGTTTATTACTCTAATCAGAAACAGGAAATATATTTTCAGCTACTCTAAACCTTATGTGTTCTTTTATTATGCATGAGCAGCTATTACTGCTGTTCAGTCATATACATCTCTTAAGGCAGTCACGTTGCAATCTCTGCCTCTGGAACGGCTTTCCAATAAATAAACCAACCTTTCTGCGTGAAAAGGTATTCTGCAAACATAATTAAGTACCGAAATCTACATCTTTATGAACATAACATCTTCATATACAAGATGAATCCATTGGAAAAATCTTAGAGGTTTTGCTTCACTTTGTCATTAGAGCCAGCACAAAAGGATTTTATTTTACATTACAACACTGAACACATCTTGTGCCCTTGAATGTGAACTGCCTGGAATTTTGTTAAGATTCTGTTCTCCAGTCTCATTTTCACACTCAATGAGCCACTACTCTTTCAGTCCAAAAGGGATCAGTCAGTAAAGCTGCATCATGAAACTGGTTGTTGAGTCTGATCAGATTCTTTAAAACTCATTTATATTTAGCCAGTAGTCACAAAGCTAGCTTCAAATGCTGCTCAAGATGTGCCCTCTCTTTTGAGTATAATTTGGGAATGCAAAATCAGATTTATGAAAAGGATACAGTTTAAAGACAATTTTCATCTTCTGTTATTCATACTATGTTATAAACATTAAAAGCAAAATCTACAAATATCCAAATGCCTCTTATTCACATTTATAGATTTTTGTTTCCCTACAAGCAGGTATTTAATTATTAACATAAGAATTTTCATGAAAATTAAAAAAATAATGAGTTATCAATAAAACTCTCCAGATTAGGAATCTGGCACGTAGAAATGTTTTTGATTTATTAGTTTGTCTTGATAAAAAAAGTCTTACAGTAGCTTAACCATCTAAGCTGGTAGACTTTTTTTTTTAACCTGTCATCTTCTGAGGTTTGATAAGATCTGAGATCAGGAAAGAAAGTATGGAAATTTTTTCTTCTGCATCCTCCCTCAAATATTGGTGCTGCACTCCAGGAAGTGCCTGGAATGAGGATAAAGCAAAAGGCATCAAGGGGGATTGCTTGGTAAGACAAGATTTGGATGATGAACTCCTGTGCTGGAACAAGTGCTGCTGATGAGGGAGGGTGTTTAGGATTGTCAGGGCAGTCTCTTTTGTGATGTGGATCCCCATGATTTTTGTTGAACTTTTAAAACTGCCTGTATCCAGGTCCAAAGAAGGAGTTAAAATTCCTACCCTGACCATGTGGCTGGCCAGGAAAATAATGTCCCCCAAAACCTGCAGCAGCCAGGAAACTGAGGATAGAATTATATTAGTTAGAAATAAAGGACTAAACCCAACCCAGTAAAAACAATAAGACCCCTGACTGTGTGTTGTGAGGAGATGCTCTGAGCTATGCTCTGCAGTCAGACCCTCACACTGCCTGTTTGTCAGAGGACTCATCCTTTGGGCTGGACATCCCTGGCTAAGGTGTGCATTTGGGGCACTGAATAGCTAATTTTTCCACTACCTCAGGAAGCCTGGACTCACCTATCCAACCAGAACACCACTGCAACCAGACCATGAGATCAAAACCTGAGTGCTCTTACCCTTCTGTGTGCTCTTACTCTGAGTGTTCTTACTCTTTAGGAGATATAAGTATTTCCTGGGAAAGAAACAAGAGATTAGCCTGGCCTTTCCGTGAGGAATGTCTTCTCTTTTGTCTTCTCTCCTCTGTCACTCTGTTTCTTCATGCTGGTACCCAGAAAGCATTTGTACTTGCTTCCCAAGGGGAACAGCTGTCCCAGGAGGGGACAAGGAGCATCACACCCTGGTGAGGGCAGGCTCAGAGGGGGCAGCAGGTGGGGCATAAAGCCTTTGCCAGAGGAGTGATCTGACCACCAGGTTAAAGGATTCGGAAAAGGTAGGTAGTGGAGGTAGTTGGGCAAAAAAATACAGAATTACATTTACATCCCTACTGCTAAAGTCAGTTTAGCACAAGTGAGGAAGCAGAGGCTTTAAAAAAGCAGCTGCAAAAAATGTCACATGGTACAAAGGACATCTTGGCTGCTGTGATACAACACAAATGTTAACCATGCATTTTTTGTCAGCAAGTGAGAGTCACAGAGGAGCAGTTGGCTTAGTGACACATCACCACAGACACAGAGCTTGGCCTTTGAACAATTTCTTGGTACAACAAACAGCTTCTCAATCAGCCAGAGTAGGGCCTTAACAATTCAAGGACAATTTTTTATATATTCAAAGCGAATTAACAGAGATTTACATAGTTGGTTTTAGCTGTGGCTTCTCTTCAATTGCCAGACGGATGTTCTAGTTCATTTCTTCTTTTGTTTCTGTCAGAAATACAATTATAATGCTGAGCAGAATCTGTTACTGCTTGTTGAAAGCAACTGCTGTGAGTGAGCTCAGCTCTACTGACTGCCTCCTTCTACCATCTAGTGGCACCTTCAGCATATTGCTCTCACTCTTCTTGTTTTTAAGAGTTCAGTGAGAATGATAATAAACCTATACTTTTGAAAAGGGCATCGTTTCTGGAGGGGAAATACCTTTCTCTGAAATGGCAGTGTAGTTTTCATATGTGAACTATTATGGGAGAATAGAAGAGATTCAATGGTCTAAAGAACTAATGTCAGATAAAAGCTGATTGATTTCCAGTTTGGTTTTCTTTTTTTTTTTTTTTTTTTTTTGAGGTAGCACTTGGATTTTAAGTTGAAAGCTGCAGAATGAAACCATTGAATATTCGAAGGGAATGCCTATTAGAAACACAGTTGGCTGCTATTTATCAGGATATTTAAAGGGCACAAGAATTAGAAAATGTCAAATGTAAAGCTTAATAGAAAGCCTGTAGTTTCCTTTCTGATTACATAATATCATTAAGAGCTTTCAACACACTTGGTTTGCTATTTAGCTGGATATTTAAAGGGCACAAGACTTAGGAGATATTATCAAATGTAAAGCTTAATAGAAAGCCTGTAGTTTCCTTTCTGATTACATAATATCATTAGGAGCTTTCCGTGTTCCATTGTGCAGTAAACATTTCTGTTTCATTTAAGGTAAAATTTTAAATGTCAATGAACTAGGAATTTCAGGCTTGGCGTGTTTTCAATCCAAGAGTGAGTTCTGACTAATTACATGACTGAGCAAACATGAATTATCTCAAATGCTTTCTGTTCTTTGAATTGAGGTTTGGGTTTTTTCACAAAATGCTGGTTTGGGTGGATAAGACAACAAACGAAACTAAATTTTTATCGCATTCTGGAAAAGGTTTGTTTCTTCCTTTCCACTCGCAGCAAATTGAGAAGGCAAATTGGTAGCAGTCAGTATAGAATCTCAGCATGCAGGGTATTTTTTTTTTCTTTGAAGCCTGTGCTGTTCCCTGTTCTGTTCACACTGACAGGTTTTCCCCCCTTTCCCAGGGTGGCAAGATCCCCATCAAGTGGACAGCTCCCGAGGCCATAGCTTACCGCAAGTTCTCTTCGGCCAGCGACGCGTGGAGCTACGGCATCGTCATGTGGGAGGTGATGTCCTACGGGGAGAGGCCCTACTGGGAGATGTCCAACCAGGATGTAAGTAATGCCCACAGCTGAGCTGCGAGCTGCTGAAATGTTCCTTGAAAGCCACTGTCTCTCCCTGCGCTGCTTTGTGGTCTCGTTCACTTTCTGGGGTGAATCTCAGCTCGTTTAAACCACCCTCGTCCTGTCAGCTTCAACGGCACAGTTCATTTATGCAACCTGAAGATTTGGCCCTCTCTAACTAAAACCTTGACTAGCTTCCTGCCATGGATTAAAGACAGATTACAAAGAGTCAGAGCCAGCCTGCCAGGCTCTAATGCTGGTTATGTGTGGCTTTCATCCAAATCCCTGCGAATCTGCACCAGACAGGTGGGTTGATGCAGTTCTCAGTTAAGCTGTAAATCAAAACTCAGGGGAATACTGGAACTGTTCTGATGATGATGGCCCATGATGACCAGTACAGCCTGACAATATCCTTCAATGGGCATACATAGTTAAATTCTAAGAGAATTAAGCTGCCATGAGAAATGTGTTTGCCAATTCTCTTTTCTAAGAATTCAACACATTATTTTCATCTTAAAATCCACATATAGGCTTAACCACAATGCAGGACAACAATTTAAATTTTCACAGATCCTCTTTTTTGATGGATTCCCATGACAGCTCAAACTGGTATACTCAGTCTTCACACCAGCCATCAATCTCTATGTCAAAATGAGGAATATCAGCCAACCCACCTTAACCTCTCCTACATATGTGCCTAGAATACCTCTGCATTGGTTCTGAAGAACTGACAAGACTTTTCCCAGATGGCTGTTTTATATTCTTGCTAAGTTATTCAGCTCTGCAAGTCTGGTTGCTTGTTAAGGCTGATCAGTCATTTGGGGATAAGGATCTGAGAAAGATTTTCATTTAAAAAAATAAAGTCAGAGTGTTCCAGGAACAAAAGAATAAACCCACAACCAAACCCATCCCAAACAGAAAAAAGCAGCAGCCATGCAGTAGCAGAGGGTGCTGTTCCTGAGGCAATCTTCCATCAGAAGCAAAGCTGAGCACAGCCATGGCAGTAGCAGCCTGGGCATCATTCGTGTGCCGTTGCAAAACCTGATCACTCTGCATGCAGAGAGTGCACTTGGTGTCAAAATGCACACACAGCCTCACAATTCCTGCCTTCCCAAACTAAGAGATGCAATGGGTAGTTCCACTGGGAGCCTTCTTTTAATGGAAGATTGAGCAGAACAAGAACCTGGGAGAAGGAACCAGCAAAATCACACAATGGCTGAGGCTGAGGGTCCTTTGAGATGGCTTGTCCAGCCCCTCTGCTCGGGCAGGCTCAGCCAGAGCAGCTTGCTCAGGGCCAACTGTGGCCAGGTATCTCCAGGGAAGGGACACTTCCAGCTGCCCTCCCTTCCTTGGCAGCTGGCTCCAGCCTGTCTTCTTCCCCTCTAGCAAACCCTGGGATGTATTCAAGGCCATGCCAGCAGGGAGAATTCAGAAAGTAAGCTCTCAATTTAGAATATATTAAATAATCAGCTACAGTGTGAAGATAGCAACATTTAATTACTCCTACATCCCAAACAGAAGTATCTGCTAATACAGAATAATGCTGCAGGCCCTGTGGATGCAGCTTATGCTAATGATGCCAACTGCTGGGGGCTTTCCCTGCAGGTCAGCAATTCCCAGCACAAAGCACTCCTTTCCTCCAGAGCCCTGCCCACAGGCTCTTAGTGCCAGAATGTTGACAGTGGGCACCTGTGACCTTCTACACACATCTAGTGACTTGAAGTGTCCTTGGGAAATTTCAAGTTATTGGACATACTCTAAAGCTTGTTTTGCTGGATCCTGGGACATTTCTTTCAGCACAGTAAATTGTCCTGAATTCACATGAGCTTATTTTGCAGAAATAATAGGACTTTCAAAGGTCAGTGATACTGTACAGATGGCAGGGAAAGCAGCAGAGAGGGGAAGCACTAAATGGATTCATAAAAGGCACAGTATGCAAACAGCACTTAATAAGGTCTTGCACGAGTCTAGTTCTGCTACCACAAAATGTCTGTAACATCAACATTACAACACTTACTGAGATTTGATCCTAATAAAATTCTAACTTAGATAACAATAAAATATTAACTGAATTAGGTGGGGGTTTGTAAATTAACAGAAGTTTTCCAAGTACAAACTCTGCAGAGCTGGGTCTGGTTTTGGGGGGATTTTTTTGACATTCCATCTGACAAGTGGCTGAGCCTTCAGTCCCAGCAATCAAAGCAGGGGGAGCCAGCAGGGGTAGCACAGAGCTCAGGTTGACATGAGGAGTGTTAAACTGGTACCTGCCACCCAAACAAACCCCGTGGATGCTCTGAGACTGCAGCTGCTCACAGGTGTCCATTGGCTCCACGGGAGCAAGAGTGACCCCACACCCTTAGAAATCCAGAGTTCTCCATTTGAATTCCTCAGCAAGGATTTGGCAGCTGAACTTAAGGAAACTGAGTTGGAAAATGCTGCTCATAAAATTTTAATACCTCACATGGCGTAATGCAGAGGCTTAGAAATCTTACTAAGCTTGAGAAATGTTCTTATTTAAGTAAATAACCATTTTATTATTGTGGTAAGTCACTTCCAACCTGTGTTGGTGCTGATTAATGCACTTCTTAGATGTGTGGCAGGCACCAGAGGTGTCCATTAATTAGGGCTGCTGCACAGTCTGTCGTGTCTTATTGCTTAATTAATAAACATTAGCCAAGATATTGAACTTTCCAATGAAGCCAGTGTACTGATGAACAGATTGTGCTAAGAGCCTGGCTCGCTAATGCTTATGTGAGGGAAGGAAGATTTATATTCCATGCATTTGGGTTGGAGAACAGCTGTGAGTGAAGTCTCCTGGGACACCTGTTAGAGCCACTCTATAAATCAGTGCATGTTGCAGAGCTACAGAATTCAAAAAGAAAAGAAGAAAAAAAGAATATTTAATGGATTGTAATTGGTATGCAAGAAAACTCCTGTAGCAAACAGAATAAAACTCCTTACCCTCCTGAAAGTTTCTCGTAATAGTAATAAAAAAACCCTTACCATAATATAATTCTTTCAGCTTACAGATATCAAAACACTTGGCAGGTGCCTGGCACTGGGTCTGTACCAGGAGGCAGGAGCAGCTGCCTCTCCCTCCTGGTAGATTTTTCAGATGTCACAGGACACAGGGACAATGTCCCTACGGACTCTCTTCCATCTCAGTCTCATTAAAAAATCTGTCAGTTAACTTTTGAAAGCAAGAATCTATGCTACTGCTAATAATGAAACTATCAGGAAGATTACAGCTTTATTTTCAGGTGTCATTTTTGCCAATTTCCCATTATTTTGAAATTAAATATGCATAAATTTTATGTAGAAGTCCATAAAATCTTGTTCAAACTGTTTTGGTTTATATGGTATTTTTATATTGTTCAGACAATCATATTAAATATTAACCCTGTGGTCAAGCTTTACAGCAATGCCTAACATCAAACAGAAATGATAAGATGTATTGAACAGGCTCCAGTGTTTCATATCATCTGTATACAAAAAGATTAAAAAACGGTCCCCTTTATAGAAACAGAAGCCTAAGCATGAAAAAGCATAGAAATAATTAGCTATGTTAACCATAAAAAATAGTCCCTTTCCTTGATAGTTTCTGTTCCTGCCTGTGATACCCACCAAGTGTTTGCCCCAGGAGCAGAGAGCAGAGAGCAGCCCTTTTGTTGGCAGGCTGACTCAAACTGAGCTGGTGTTCCTGTTCTTTGCTGGTGGAATGGATGGAGCTCTGCTTTGCCTTTTGGAAAGAGTCACAGCCATTGCTAAGCTGTCACTATGTCCTTGTGCATGCAGTTGTTTAGGTTATCTCGTGATTAATGTGGTGTCTCATCAACCTTAGCTGGCAAGGAAAAAAGGCACTTCAAGTGAGTTAATGTGTATTATCTTTAGATGTTATATAATTTTATATAACCAAGAAAAATTTAGCGTTTCTTCCCCTTTAGGGACATGGGTATCTAATTCTTCTGTTCAGAAAGATAGGTGTGGAGCAGGAGCTGAAATAAATATATAAAACATAAATAAGGAACTAAACAACTCTAATTCTTCCTTTGAGACTTGATTCCCATTGCAGTATTAGACAGTTATCACATCTTTGCTCTGGCTTCTTAGACTCTAAAAATAATACTTGCCTCACAAGAGATACTAATGAGGCAATATTGGCAGTTTATTTTTTAAATCTGCTGGTATTAATGAGAAATTATAATTATCCCAGAACCACCTGGCATTTCTCTTCGTACTGCAATGTTCCTTTGGAACAAGAGAGGAAACAAAATACACTGTAACTTCATTTTCAAAGATATGCTATAATAGAGTGGGTCAGAGAAAATATGCCTGGAAAATTATGGTTGGTTTGGGGTTTTTCCTGAATAAGTTATTTCAGAAAAAAGCCTCATCAGGCCTCTATCATTGTTTTGAGTAAATTCTATATGTCTCATAAAAGTAGAGCAGGTTTCCTGTTGCCTTAAAATACATTTCATAAATTCACCATTTGCAACAGGCACAGTTAAATGTAAAGGCTATGATATCTGCATTCCTGGGCTGCTAAAGATTACTGCTTTAGTGACAAGTGTCAGCTCAGCTGTGTCCCTCACTGTCACGAGTGCCTGTGCTTTATGAGGCCACTTTGGACAAACTGCTTGAGATACATTAATGATAAATGTAAAAATAAGTGTGAATAAAATTTCACACAACTGGGGTTGAATTTCACCCACCCCCAGTCTACGGGAGCACTTTTGTCACTGACAGGCAAGGTTTTGGGGGAAATATTTCCCTGGCAATCTATGGCACTTTTTCCCGTGGCAGCTATTCCAGCATATGGATTTTGGACAGTTGAGATAACTCCCAACAGGTGGCCAGAAAGGCAGATGGAAGGATTCTCATACTGACACCTCATTTACTGCTGGGTGGGTGCAAGGCCAGTCCTGCCTGCACATGAGTGACCTGTCAGCACTCAGGTGAGGCAAATCCAGAGATGCCCTCACCAAGGAATAACCTCGGGAGGAGCCCGGACTTCCCAGTGCTGTTGCCAGTGGGTCTAAAACTCACCCTGTGCAACTCCACGTGGCAAACACTTGTTTTGCATGCACAGGTGTTTAACCAGCATACAGGAGGGCTAAACACTACACAGGACCACGTCACCTAATGCTGTAAAAGCCACCCAACCAGCTGTGCACAGCCACAGCAGCCTTGTTCCACCTTCTGCCGTGCCGTGGAGGGGAGCTAAGGTCCCAACACAGCTTCATCCCTCTGGTTTGATTTGCATAATGCTTGCACATAGGCACTGGGCATTGCTGAGCAGAGCCAGCAGCATCCATTCAGAATTCAAACACAGAACCACGATATATTCCAGGACAATAAGAGTGAAGGTATTGAAGCCAGAGCTAGTGCTGTAAAACATTGATTTGCTGTAAACAGTTTAATGTCCCCCTTCCAGCTGCATTAATATGTCTGCATGTGCACACACCTGTGTGGAGATGAAGGATGTCTCCTTACAATAGTGGGTGTAAATGCAGTAGGTCTGTTTCTCCTAAGTAATATATGTATTTATATATATAATATATATATAAGTAATATATATTTATACTAAGTAAACCTTAGTATAAATATTTTGTACAATCATTTGTGCATTAGAAAACATTTAGCATGGCTTGGATTTTTATGTGGAAGGGTTATGAATTGGTCCTATTCCTAGCTCTGGTTCTGGTCAGCCTCTTAGTACCTTTCCATTCCTTTTTATACAAATAATCCTGACTATGTAGTTTGTATCATCATTCCCACTGCTACCAGCACTCATTGCAGAATCCAGGGACCTTTCCTCTCGGTCTTTAAATCTTCCATGTAATAAATCCATGTAAGATTTTACGAATACATGAGTTTTTCCATGGACCTTACCTGCTTTTGCTACTTCCTGTCAGGTAGGTCTGCTACTCTTCTTCTCAGACAATGTTTTTGCTACTTTAGTGTTTAGTGTTACTAAAAACGAGCCTTCCTTCAACTCTGATCAATTGCAGTTTTTCATATATGTGATTTATCTGTTATATTAGACCTGTTTCTTTCCAAATGCTGACCAAGCATGTTCTGTACATCCCCTGAATCCGAATACTTTAAGGTGTGCAATAATACTGTAATTTGAGTAACTTTTGTTTAGTCATAAACACCTTGGACAATTCAGGTTTCTGAGGGAGGCTGCGCAAAATAATGTTGCTGTAACTTGGTGTGCGGGGCATTGCCTGAATTAAACAGGCTTTAGGGGTCAGCAGAAACGTGCCATCAGCCAGTAAATTCGTCAGGTGTTTTAGTGCTGGATTGTAATGTGACACTGCCACACACCAGAACTTTGTCAGAATGCAAATCTTAGAGCAGGGTGTAGCAGTGGCCACACTGGGTTAATCTGTGACCCTGTGACTCCCTTCAGTACAAAGTCAACCTGAAGTGGATGAAAACTATACATATAATCGCTTGTTCTTTATTCCCCTCCTCCTTTTTTAGCTGCTTGAAGAGGATGTCCAGAGAACCTAAAAAAGTGCCTACTATGTTTCATATGCCTACAAAACATTTTGTGTCTACTCTGGTCAGGTTCCTGCCAGTCCTGATTCCCTGAGTGAGGCCCCAGCAATGCACAGAGTGAGGGTGGCTGTGCCATTAATTATCCATCATCACTAGTTTCTAATTGTCAGCCTCCCCCTGTCCGTTCAGTGTGTAACACCCAGTAATCACATGCTCTGTGTTTTTCAGGTTATCCTGTCTATTGAAGAAGGCTACAGGCTCCCAGCTCCCATGGGCTGCCCAGCTTCCCTTCACCAGCTAATGCTGCACTGCTGGCAAAAGGAGAGGAGCCACCGGCCCAAATTCAGCGACATCGTCAGCTTCCTGGACAAACTGATCCGCAACCCAAGCACCCTTCACACCCTCGTGGAGGATGTACTCGTGTAAGGCTCTCTGTGGTGCTTTTGTTTTAGATATATACCACGAGTGGTTGTCATTGTGTGTTTGAGGTGGGAGAAAGCCCTGAATTCGCAAAGTTATAACTTTAAGTGCCTTTTAATGTTTGCATTATTGTTAATGCACTGTATAGGGAGGTTTTTTTCTCGAGTCATGCAGGTTTGGGGGTTTTTTATCTCTGTTTATGCACTGTCTATATCCTTAATCTTTGTGAATCTCCTTGTTCCTTTGTGTGTGTGTGTTTCTCCTATGTGCTTGTTTCCTCTGTAATTTGTTTCTCTATTCAACACCCTGTCTCTCCATCTAACAGTGCTCAAGCAATTTCTGAACTGCCTTGGAGTAATATCCTGCAGAAAGTAGTTGTGTCTCAGCTTGCTAAGTCTTTATTTACCTGCAGAAGAATGGCAGCAGTGACCAAATAAGAAATTGTGCTATTACCACTCCACATCAAATTTGGATGGGGACTTGTTGGATTTAATGTCCATCCACAAGAGTTAGTGGCCTCTGTGTGTGTGTGCATTTAAATACATATACATGTATGACTTGCTACCTCTACCTGGGTCACTTTATTTAGCATCAGAGTAATGTATTTTTATCTCTTTTTATTTTACAACATTACTCAAGATCTAAAAAACTTATGCCTTATTGAACTACTATTGAGTTCGCCTGCTTGGGAATTCAAGGGTTTTTCCAATAATTTGAGAATGCTTGATGCAGTCAATCTGCATGATTGTTGTGTTATGGGTAACGTAGAAGGTCAGCAGTTATTCTACAGTAATTCAGATGGGAAGGGATCCTGGTAGGTCTTTAATTGCAGGTTTTTGCTATCATTTTGATAGTACAAATGAAAATCAGTGTACTTAATGTGTTTGAATATGTGTGAGTGAAACTTGGGATTAAGACATTAGGCTGTGTTGCTTCCTACATTACACATAAGTCCTCTTCCATCAGTTAATGTTGGCTGGCTTTCACTAATACTTCATTTTAAATCAGTGCTATCTCTCTCCTAAAGGCTAACATAAAGCTTTGACAAACAGCAGTGTGCCTGTTTTCTGCATTCTGCTCACACAGCTTCTCTGCACAAAATGAATGAAGTCAGTGGAAGCTGTGAGCCTTCCCAAGTGTGGTACACAACAGAAGAATAGAAAGAAATGCCCCAAAATTGGAATGCTTATTTCCCCCCCCCATCTTTCTGTTTCTGTTTATTGCAGATAAACATGTCCCAGATATATGGATAATATTAGGGGAAAGAACTCCCACAGAAATGGGACTAAATTAGATCCTTCATTTTCACTTGCTACTTTATATAATTCTGTGTAAAAGCAAAGATACAACATTTTGTTCTTTTTGCTGCTTTTAGGGTGAGTTTTAGCTTTTGAATGCTGTAATCAAAGTGTTCCTGTAGCATAATGGTAACACAACAAGGAGCCATTCGGGGAGGGGTTGTAGATAAATGTAAAAATCACGGTGTTCTAATGCTTTAAATTGCACCTCATGTTAAATTCTCTTTGTCCTCTACTTTGACTACTGCATTAACAAATTACTATAATCCTGAGCACAGTGATGTGTAAAGAAACACTCTGTGGGAACAAAAATAAAGCAGTGGGAGAGGTCTTTTCCTCGGTTTGTTACTGAGCTGCAGTTCTTTAACAAAATGTTCTGTATGAGTTGTTCAACTTGGCAGACTGAGATGATTTATAAGTTTTAGACAAGAGGTTAAAGAAATCCTCAGTTCATATCTGACCTTTACAGCTCAGACTCCTCTCTCATTCCCTGTGCCTTTCAGCAAAAACAATGTCTACCAGAGTAAATTGGGTGTCATAGTTTGCACTGCTTTGGTAACCTTTGGGGTTTGTTTTTTACAGAATGCCAGATTCACCTGGTGAAGTTCCAGAATATCCTTTGTTTGTGTCAGTCAGTGACTGGCTGGACTCCATAAAAATGGGTCAGTATAAAAATAACTTCATGGCAGCAGGTTTCACAACTTTGGATATGGTCTCAAGAATGAATATTGAGTAAGTATGTAATCTATTATCCCTATAGTGACTATTCAATCTGAATTTGTTTGGATGCTGCAGTGACATAATTATTGTGAAATACGGAGCAGTGCTTTCATTTCCTACCTCAGCTAACAAAAGACAAATACAGATTCTTACCAAAACAACACAAGATAAATATGTGATGAAGAGACCCAGAACTAATAACTTCATTCTGTGGCAACACCAAACACAACCACGTGCCAGGCAGTGAGTGTGTTTCTTGGGGAACCAGTTTTGATCTAGACCACTGAAGTCAGTGGCAAAAACCATTTCTTACTTTGCTATGAATATCATCAAGTCCACATCAGTCCTCATAAGGAAGTTTGTCCACACCTTGAGGCCCTTTTTCAACCATCTCTGGTACCACTCAATTGTTTCTTTACTGAAAACCCTGCACCCAGTATGTGTTTGGGTAAACTATGGATTAATATGGCAGCATGATGATAGGATCTACTTGGCTTTCTGTTCCCTTCCCATTAATTCCTAATCTCTTATTTGATGGTGAGACACTGTATTAATAATGGGGTCAGTTAAGATTCACCAGTTGTGCCTGTGAGCTAAGAACTGGTTTCCTCCTGTGTGTGTCACTTCACATTCACCTACAGTGAATTCCATCTGCTGCTTTACGGCATAGTCATTGTCTTATAAGATCCTTCTAAAACTCTTCAGAGGCAGCCCTTTCCCTTCCTTCCCCGAACAATTCAATCTCACCAGGTGACTTTTCCACCCCTGTGCTCACCTGTTTTTCCAGACCATTTACTGATTTGTCGAACAATAATGTTCAACATCAACCCAGCGTAGGTGCTTGCAGATTTCTACCAGTGACAACATTGTAACAGCTGACAATTTACTCCTAACCTCCTGCCTGTAAACCTGTACTTTGGTGACACAAAGACCACCTTATGCTCCTATGTTGTTACACCTTGTGTTACATAGTAGTTACTCCTTATTTTCATTATAAAGCTTTTACGAGGAATCTTCTCTAAAGCTTTTGGAAAGCCAAGTGAGGTGAATCAAATGGATCACTTTCCCCCATACATATGCTCCACTGGAAACAAGTAATTTTCTAAAACAGAACTTTGCAAATGCTGTGGTAAGTCAAGCAGATCATTTATCCAAGCATCCAATAATTCTGGGCTTTCCACAAGTTTCTGTTATGCCCTGTAATGATTGCAGACTCACAGGCTGTGGCTCCACACATCTTCCCTGGAAACGTTTTGTCTGTCCCCACACTCCCTGCCTCAGGCACCAAGAAACTTTTGAGCATGTGGAACACAGCTGATAAACTCCCACTCTCACATCCCTGTTAGTGATTCCACTGTTTCATTCTTGTCACACTATTCCAGCTTGTAGGACTCTTGGCTAAATATAGTCTCATTCTGGAGGTGGGTTGCTGCTTGTTTTCCAGTTTGTCCTGTAATCTCTCCTCAACTTCAGACAGATACTGTGGCAAGTCCCCCAGAAAGGATCTGGCACAGGAGTCACTTCAATTTCTTCTGCAGTGAATGCCAGCACAAGAAAATGGTTTATTCTTCCAACAATGGCCACTCTTTCAGAGCTCTTTTGTACCCAGATCATCATTAGACTCTACAAACTATCTGTCAGTTTTCTGGTACCCAGTGAGTCTGCAAAAATATTTATTATGATTTTTATTTTTGTTGTTACTTCATTTGTTGAGGGTTTTTTTCTGTTTGTTCCTGAAGTTCTCTTTTAGCCTGCCTTACTGTGCTTTGACAGATAGTCTAAGGTTACCATCCTTTCTACTTTCTTTCTTTAGATTACTACTTAAATTTTTTGAAAGATCCCTTCTTTCTTCAAATAACCTCCATTACCTGCTGGCTTCTTTATGTGCTTTATCAGGCCTTCCTTGATAAGTGCTAAGCATTGCTCTTGCATGTCTAATACTGCTCTCTACTGCAAAGCTTTATTCTTTCAGCTGACTGCTTTTAGCTTCTCAGATTCTCAATATTTTTGCACAACCCCTGCTGACCTTAAGTGTTGTGCATCATCCCCCACGTGGACGTTAAGCTAAGTACATAATAGTTCCAGTTATCCACTGGTTCTTCCTCTGGAGGATACAGAGGCAGGTATCTTGAACTGTAAATCTGAAGCTCAGAAAGGTCATGCCTCGCCCCATGAGCTCCTTTAGCAGCTGTATCCTCAGACATTTAGGATGTCTAAACAGGCACTGTCTGTGCACGTCCCAGTGTGGGATTTGCACAATTGACAAGGCGTATCTGAAGTTTCCTGCCCTCATCACCTCTGTACTCTTCCCTCAGCATCTTGCAGGTGGGGAGGTTTACAGAGCAACTAAACTAGTGGATCGTGGTGAACTCTGAGGGCTCTTGACTTCATTCCTGCCAAGGGGTCGAGCTCTGGGGGTGAGCTCCCCACTCTGGGGCACAGGTCTGGATGAGATGAAGGGAAATCTGGGTCAGGCTGGAAGATTCACTGCTGCTTTGAGTTTAGAGTGTTTTTCACTACCACTGCCCAAATCAACAGAAGCAAAAGCTCTGTCTGTTATTTCTGTCTCAGGACTGCAGTAGTGAACGTATCAGCCCCAGTGTTTTCCAAATATGAGTAGGAAACATTTGCTACTACAACATTACCAAAAGCAGGCTATTAGAGCCCACCTGCCAGGTTATTCCTCGAGGCTTGAAAAATTCCTTGATGATTACTATCACAAAAGCTCCAGTGTTCTAACTGCACTTTTTTTATTAGATTCTTTCTCTTAAATGACTGTCTTTGAAAAATTGAAATTGGCAGGTCCAGAAAACTTGAACATTTGCAGCTTTCTTATATGACCCAGCCAGGAAGGTAAAAAAAGAGCAGTTCATCATATATTTGTATTCTTTTGTGTACAACAGGCTTTACTAATACTTGCATCCAAGATTAAACTTTCTGTCTTGCAGTGACATTAGAAGAATTGGAGTTGCACTCATTGGGCACCAGAGACGAATATTCAGCAGTTTACAGACTTTGCGGTTGCACATGATGCACATACAGGAGAAAGGATTCCATGTATGAAAGTACTAGAACCAACTGTGTTTTGTGCCTCAGCATTTCTAAAATGGAAAAATATTCTCATTCTTTCCTTCTGCTCTTCCCAACTCCGAGGACTGCAGCCTCCTGTTCAGACCGTACAAGTACTTCGATGGTAATGCTTCCAAACCGGAGTTTTTAATCACACTGCACAGCTCCTCCAGCAGTTATCAGCCAAGAAAACCCTGGCCTACTGCAGGACTCTTGCCACACATTGATGAGTAACTCAGCATGGATGTGTAACTTTGTATAACAGTATTTGGAAAACTTTCATGAACTTACTTGAAAGTAATAATCTATTTGGCCTGGTGTGGCTTCTTTATCGATGTATTTAGAGTTTGCTGGTAGATCAAAAAAGTATTTGACTTCTTTCATGTTCTGTGACCATGTAACTTCCAATACCAAATGTGCAATCAAAAAGAAGTTTAACATAAATATTTATTTTATCTCTTAATTAAATCCAAATGTATGGGTCCTATCATTATATTACTTTATAGTAGTTTGAAAGCTGGTAAGATGGTGCCTCAAAATATTACTGTTGTTTGCAGAAATGACTGATGATTTTATGTAGGGAGTTTTCATTGTGTGAATAATTGGAAGGATGATGAGAGTAATCTGTTTGGAATCTTAAGGAAGGTTCTTGATTTTTAATTACTTCAGCACTCGACACTTTTTATGCTTTAAATTTTAGATTAGGATGGAAACTTTGTTCATCCCTGGGATTCCTCACTATCCTTCGTTGTTTGTTTGGTTTTTTTTAATGTAATACTCAGCATTTGCTCCCTCTACATGGCAAATATTCACTGGAAAACTGATTGTGACGTTTCCATGAGCACACGTAAAGCACAGTTGTCAGTTGTATTGTGGCCACATCGACTTCAGAAAGCTTTCTGTTCCAGAAAGGCAGGTCTCTGCTGCTCGGGCTTGGCACGACTGCCACCAGCAGCAGCAGCAGACCTTAGAGGGCCAGCCATCAGTGGGGTGATGGGGTTATTCGGTGCTCTTGTTCCTGGGCAGGGAAGGAGATGTAGGACAGCAGTGTGGTAACGTTGCCTTGACCCTGCTTCTGGCTGCTTTTAGAAGTGAAAAAGCAGATTGTGCTGACATGGAGCTCCGGTCACTCCAGGCTGGATCTTCATTTAGTACAGATATCTAAAGGACATCCATGATAATTACCTTTAGAACCCTTCAATAGCCATATTTACATGCAAGAAAACGTCTGCAAAGGCCTAACATAATATTTGTACCTCTTAAGACTTACAGCTTTCATGTTTTATTCAGACAACTCCACGGACGTGCTGGGCTACACTTCCAAATTTCTGCATGGGATGTGCACTACTGGGAACGGGGAACACCGCATGTGTGTGTGCCGAGAAACCACACCCAGCTCCTCAATGCATGTCACATGTAACCTGGCTGCAGATGCTTTTTGTTGATTTATACGTGCTTTGGAGGATATTTTTGAGTTCTGTGGCATTCCAGTATACTCGAGCCTTACAACTCCTCTGTTGAAACGTGCATCTTGGGTAATTAATATAATATGTGTGTATATCAAAATGAGCTAACTACTTTATGTAATCATAACGATATTTACTGCTTCATTTGCAGCTTGTAAATGTACTTCCTAACTCTTGGAAAAGGCTGCCATTGTGTATCAGTGGCAAAGAACAAAAATCAGAAAGTAACTCAGAAAAGAGAATGCTTCCAACCAGATCACAGAGTAAGACACGCTAGGCCTGATTCACTGCTGTCATTTATGTTGGAATAACTGCATAATTTACAAGAGATAGTGATAGTGCACTAAGTAAACTTTCCTTTCTTTCATTAAAAAAAGAGGCAGATTTAACTGAGGAACAAGTTTCATAAAGATCAAGATTCACCAGGATTTTCTACATTGCCATTTGGATGAGCTTGTTTAAAGCAGAGCAGCTCCAGTCCTGTTCTAGCTACAAAGGTAATTTTGCCAGCATGGGCAGTCCCCCCGAACTCAGGAGGACTGCACAAGCACGGGTGTTTTGCAGGAACACAGATCTTTAGTGGGAGAAAAAAAAGCATCTGTTCTTTTCTGTGACTGTCACTTGAAAAATTCCACCCCAGTTCCACATCTGAATAATTTTTTGGTAAAGGTCCTTTCTCTTATGGAAAGAAAATCATACTTATGTGAAGCCCAGGGTAATCTGAAAGCTGATTTTCCTTTATCATTTAATTATCTGTTTTGCTTGTCATTGCTTCCATGGGCCAGCAATGGGACACATGGGGAAGAAGCCTCTCCCACAGTTAAATACCTTACTGAGGAGGCACGGGGCTGCTCTTTGTTAATGGGGTGTCAGAACCATCCACAACTGATCCAAACCATGTCTGTGCACTTTTAGATTGTCTTTTGTGAGGGTTTTCATTCCTGGTAGGGAGGATTGGCAGAATGACATTGTTACATGCACACAACCTGGATATATTTCATGAAAATATATTTCTAAATTTATCACACTACTGAAAATATATTTTCAATAGAAAAAATATAACAATATTAAAACATTTAATAATCAGATATATTTTTTATATAAACCAGAGTTTGGGTAACCAGAAAGGAAAGAACAAGAGATTCTTTGAGTGAGGACATTTATTAATAACATTGTAAATCCAGGATTTTGTGGATTTATACAGTTTGCTTTTCTGTTGTTTTTGTGGTGCAGTATGACACTTTTATAATAGTTATCTTGATCAAATTTACATTTTCCTCATTTTGGAAACATTTTATTTGCTCTTGTGCTGATTGCAAGTTTACTCTTGCTTTGGGCTTTCGTTCCTATTTTCTAATTTAAACAAAAAAACTAACAGGTGTTATTTTTCAAATGTGAGCTTAATTCTGTGCGGGCCACAAATGTATATGTGAAATTAGAGTAACTTTCTTTGTTACAGTGGATATTTTCTTCAGGTGAAAATTAGCTCTAATTATCCTGCATATTGCAGTATGCAGCTGGAGTTTAAATATGACAAATTGAAGCAAATTTAATAGGCTGTTTCTGAGAATCTGGCCCACATTACTGAGTGCTTCATGACTCAAAGTAGTCATTGAAAGTTCGCAAAATAAAGTGTGTGTGATATGTAAGCAACCAAAAAAAAAAGGGCATTAAAATGTGGGCATAGTAAAGACATAGTTCTAAGTTATTTATAAGTAATATTCATGTGTCGATTTTTCTCACAGCTCTGATTTAACTGATCCAGAATAGAATCATCTCTTGGCACTCTAAGCACGCAGTGATACTTGTGTGTCACTTGAGCTCCAAGACAGCTCAAGTGAGGGCCTTGGCTGCTGAGCAGCACCAGGGCAGTGCTCTTGGCTGGTAAGTGCATCCCACCCCTTTCCATGGTGTGCCAATCCCAGTGCTTCCAAAGCTGGCTGACCAGCAGCTTGGACATCCACCTGCAGCCACGTGGGGTGCTCCTCTGAGCTGGGAACCGTGTCAGCCATCCTTCCTACCCCCTCTTGTCAGTCAGAGCCCCGAGAGCCGCTGGAAGGAACTCTTCTGACCTCGTTTTGGAGGTCCACATTTGAGCTGGTCACCTTTTAGTCAGTGAAGTGGGCTCCTGTAAGATGTGAGTCATCTGAAAATTGTATCTATTATTTATCTATCTAGAAATAGAATGATTTACTTCTGGGTTAGACGAATTGTGCTAAAGAAGCACCTGTTTCTGTGCATTCAGTGATAGCTCATATCCAGGCACCTCTGCTCAGGCAGATGAATCTCATGCCTTAATTGTATGCAGTCCTTATGCTGAACCTGTGAAAAAGAGAGGATCTTGTTCATAATGCTCATGTTAACATTGAACAAATCCCAGCAGAAGGTTTAGTAGGCTTTACTCATGAGGTGTTTCCACACTGAAATTACTGAGAAGACATGCGGTGAAAGAAAGAGAATTGGGTGATGTAACTTAAATTTTTTTTAAACAAAAGTTTTCTAGGAACAGAAATCCAGTGCCTATCCAATAAAAGCTTAGACACATGCTGTGCTTTAGGACATCAGCCAGGAATTTTCAGCATAAGGCAATCCTTTAATTGCAATCAGTGCACTCAACAATAAATTCAAATAAATTAGTTGCTCTGGACAAACATTCTTCTCCAAAATTGTGTCAGGTGTTAGCTGGATTATTCAGAACTCATAGACTGCAGTACTTGGATTTTTACATCATTTAAGACTGACTATCTGTTTGCCATTTTGTTACATAATGAGCCTAACACTGGGCTTCAACAATTTCTTTTTCAGTTCAGATTCCTACAGGATGTAAATGTGGGTGCTAAGTAACACAAAGACACCCTTTTTGCAGGTGCAGTTGAGATTTACAGTGTGGGGTAGCTGGGACTCTGAAGGGACCCAGTGAGACTCAATTAACCTGAGCAGTGTCCATGTCAGAATGAGCCCTGGGACTGGCTCAGCACAGATTCACTGTGGCTCCAGCCCAGCACATCTTTAGTCAGGGTCTTGTAAAAAGCCTGTCTTCCATTGCATCTCCCAGGGAAAGGATGCAAACAGAGCCGTGGCATTGGCACGTGGGTGAAGAGCACTGTGTTCTGCTAAAGAGTTTGCTTCCAGAGTACCCTTGTCTGCCAGTTGTAACTGATCTTTCTTGAATAAGTGGCAAAGATAAGGGCTTTTTTCTTTTTTATAATAGTACTCTTTTTTTTTTTTAGAATGAGGGAAAGACATGTTGGGCTGGGCTAACTCTTAGCAGGACAAGGGTCTTGAAATCTCCTGGGGAGACAAATGAATCAGAACTGAAAAGGTAAAAAAACCCCTAAAGGCCACAATAAAGTAAAAAGGGGAAGAACTATCCATATTGTGCCAAGGAGCTCTAACAAAAAACCAAAAGAGTTGTGTAAGAGTGCTGCAGGTACTTACAGTTCACACATATCCTCTACCATCAAATGCTGTGTTAAGCAGTGCACGGTGCTCATCCTTGAGTGAGATGGTTCTATATAGTTCCTCAGATTATGAACCTGGAGAAGGTGAACACCTTATGTTTATAAAACATTTGTCTATATGTACATAAAGAATTGCAAATATAAAGTATATCATCATTTTCAAACCTACAAATTAATTACCTATTACCAATAATGGGGTTGATCTGCTCCACTGGCTTTTAAAATTTCTGATGGCATCCACTGTATGTGTGGTGTTGTTCCCAAACTTCCTTGGCTTGTTGTCTGGAAAGGGACAGCCTCTCATCTCCTCCCCTGGCAGAAAAGAACATTTTCAAAGTGGCTTACAGAAAGCTGATTACCCTTCTGCTGCCACCTCACCCAACCCCTTCCTACTGCTTCTCTTCCAGAGAACAACTAATTACTGTAGAAATCAGTGATCACACAGAGGAGGCATTATTATTAGAATAATTATTATTATAGAAAGATGTAGTCTATGCTATAAAAAGTTTGAGTTCCTCTGCTAAAGTCACCAAAGATATTTAAGCAGTACATAAATTATTTTCTTTTAAGTAGCCATTTACGGACAATTTGGAGGTTAAAATAAGGGAAATTGTAAAGGGAGCATGAGGAAGGATATGCCAGCATAAAGCAGAAAAAAATGTACTGCATTTTAGAAAGGAAAACTAAGAAATATGATGAAAAACATGAGGTTGAAAAATGGATGAGTTAAAATATATTTCCATATTTTATTTGTGAAATAATGTAATGTCAGTTCAGTAAAATCTATTTGTGTGCATGTTCCTTTAGATATCCTACATGAGTAGCTCTTACCTTTATTTACTAAAAGAGATTTCCCAAGTACCTCTCTCTTCTACAAAGGTTTAGCATATTATCTGACTTTTCATACCTGTATAGTTAAACTGGAATAAAAAATGCAAGTTCTGACACTGAAGTCATGGGGGAAAAAAATATTAAAAAAGATCAGTCTCAAAGTAATTTGAAGTTTTCACGTGTCCTGCTCTATTCCTGTCCAAAATTTTGACCTCTATCAAACTACCTGAGCATTTGGCTAGTAGTTAACTGCACATACGTATCAGTAATAATCTGTGTGCTGTGCCATGCTCAGAAACTCCTGAATCTGGAAACCCTTCTGTGTTTCTGCAGCTCTTGTCATATAAGGAGGCTGATTTGAAATGGGACCATATACACGAGCAGAGCTAGGCATAAAGGACTTGCAAATCCAAACTCCTATAAAATATGTTTAAAGCAGCATGAGATAGCACATTTTGTCATTCTTTTAAACTTCAGAACCATGTATGGTTTCCTTGAGGAGCTCAGTATATTCACTGACCCCATCACAAAACCTCCTGCACATATTCTTGATACATGAGTAGATGAACTGTTAAAATTTGAGAATAAACCATAATATTACACTAAAACCTCTTCATTACCAGAAATTCAATTCAAAGAACTGTGAAGCAGCAGCAGCAGCATGTATGTTGAGCATGGTAGGTAAGCCAAAACCCTGGCACTGAAAAATCATAAATCAAAGAGAAGTCTAGCTCTCTGTGTTCTGGGGCCTTGACTGTATAGAGCTGACCTTGTATCTAGAATCTGAAAAATAAGGTTTTGGAAAAATCTGCTTTAGAATCTAAATATCCATATCTGGTTGTGGATGATGAAAACGTGCCCATTGAAGCAGTCTGGGGAGTATTTTCACTATATCATCACCATGTAATGCTCTGAGTGATAGGGAAAAAAAATCGACTTGCTGATTTTCCAGGATCCAGCCTATGACAAAAAAACCCAGGTACAGTTGTCATTATTTAGATTAGAACCTCCAGCAGAACAGTTCTGTAACCCAGTGAATACTTGTCCTTATTATTGCATTCTGACTCTTTTGAGAGGAACCTAAATAAACAGTAAACAATAGAACTATCCAGTTCAGAGTGGCTTACAAACTGAGTTTTCAGTTCTCTCTCATTCAGCCCGAGATTGACTTGAAAATTATTAAGAGGCAAAAAAGAAAAGCATAATAGGATGCTTTTTTCTTTAGGAAGTTGAATGCTCTGAGCTGTAAAACTTAGCATCACAGTCTCTATATGTACAATAGATTAGCTGAAAAAGACAAAGGGCAGCCAGTGTTCCAAATCTGTAGGTTGTTTCAGTTCCTAAATGTCAAATTCACAAGTTCCAAGGCTACTACCTCAGGGATGTGATCAAATAGGCCCTGGTTACCTTCAACATGGCAAAGATAAACTGCGAGCTGCAAAAGGTGGTTGCTGCACGGTTGTTTTATCTGGAATGGTCAACTCTGACTTTGGAATAGGTAATTTAAATTATCTCCACATCTAATGGAGTAGCTAACAGAAATGGTTTGGGTTTGTGGGGTTTTTCCCCCAGATAATTCCCCTGACTTTTGGATTTAAATTCAGGATAAAACTACCACCCCCATCAAACAAACAGAACTTACAAACTAAACAGGATTTGTCTATCTTTCTTCTTTCCTAATCATGAACCATTATGCAGTATGATCTCCCTCTCACAGTGGAAGTCCAGGCTGATCATTTGCCTCTTTGAACAAGCTGCTTCATACTCCTAGTGCATTGCAGTCTAAGCTTTGACATTTTCCAGTTAATGAAAGGCACAGTAGCAAATAAAATAACCAATGCCCTCTTAGTGGTTCTGTTTACTGGGTTCTTTCATTAATTCTGTATCTCAAGAAAACCATCCTACTCCAAGATTCCTAACAAGTAAACCTTTTAAAGCTTTTGGCCATGATTTCCTATCTGCCTGTCCCCAGGAAACACTTCATTTGAATTGGCAGTGTAGCATTTTTATCAGCATTTCTTCTGCAGCAATTTCTTCTCCCAACTTCTCTAAGTAAGGTAGAGAGGTTTATTCCGCACTAAAAGTGGGAAAAGGTGTTTCTTTGTTAACTCTGGTGAAGGAACTGGATTCAGAGTATGTTGCTCTCACCTAGAGCCTTCCATCTGGCTTCTGTTAAGGCCGATGTCAAAATTCTCTGCTGGTATCAGTTCCATCAGCACAGCAGTGTGTGACTGAAAACCCGGAGACTCACAAAAAGGGCTTGTTCTTTGGTGCAGTACAACTCCTACTGACTTCAGTAACTTCTCTGCACTTCTCAGGATTGCACCTGTAGTTTAGCAAGGAAAAAAAACAAAGGATCATGTGAAACCCTATTTACTTAAAGGCAATAGTTTATCTTGTAGAAAAGCAGCATTCATTGATCTAGTTAGAATTAACTGTTTTCATTTTGTCATCACTTTTTTTAGAAAAAACAAACTACTTTGACTTACAGAAAAAAAAATACAAGAAAAATATTTTACTACCTTCCAAAACTGAGCTTTGATTTACTCTTGGAAGATAATGTGGTTGGTATGTTTTCTCAGGATAGCCTCTATTTATTTCTGTGTGTTGGTTTTAAAGGTATCTGAATTAAAAGGGGTTTAATCTCTGTCTCTTTTGTGAAATTAGATTGTACACAACTAAATATGACTGCTCTTCACAGTTTGCTGTTCTAGCATAGCCATAAAATGTATCAATGTATGTGTATATATGAATAAATATTTGCTGACAGACACTTTAGATTATATATTTAAGCAGCCATGTCAAAACTTTAAAGGTAGATGGCTTCAAAAGCAATGGTATAATCACAATACCTGCAAACTATTTTATGAACAAGCTGTGGCCTCAGCACTGATCTCATGTCCTTACCAACAGTCTGAATCCCACCTTTTCCTGAAAGCCCCCTGCCCGGGTCTGTTTTGCCACTGCTTCTTTTGCTCTTCCCGAGGCGTGTTTGAATGGTGACAGCTCCCTGTGGCTCAGTCTTCCCACCCATCCCACGGCAGAGCAGCCCTGGCCCTGCAGCACCTCTGGGCTGCATCTCCCTCAGTTCTCAACTCCTGTAGCCTTGCACACCACAGACAGGACCTGCTCCTTCTGGGGGACTGAACATTTCACAGCCCGTGTCGATGGTTTCCCCCTGGGACTGCCCCACTCCTCACAATTCCTTTCCTCCACGTATGTATCTCCCATACATGTTCCCACTGCATTTTCTTTCCACCTTTTTGTGTGGTTATAACAGCACCGTAGGAATATCCATGAAATGAAAAGCTTACTGTACTGATTTGCAGTCCCAAGGGGAATTTACATTAGACGTGAAGTTGTTATTATTTACTGAAAAGTTGGTGTTATCTTCTTTTTTTTTTTTTCATATTATTCTATTCCTACAATAATATGATGTTCCATGTAAATTTTCATGTGCTGGCATGCCTACAAGTTAATAGTGTACTCGAATGCTCAGCTCTCAACATTAGAGTGTTTTTAAGGTGAATTGCATTACATATGCCATCTCTTTGCAGCAAGAATATGGGGTTTGGCAAAACTACCTGCTGAGCAACATAATGAGATTTTTGTACAAAGTACAAGTTATTGATTATTATTGTATTTTATTTTTCTATGATTTCCTAAGAGGCATTATCAGGTCTTACAGATGGGGTAAGCCTGTTTATTAAGATATTTATTAGCAAATAAAAGTTACAGTACTGGTGGTTATTTTTGAGTTAATGGTGTTTGTTTTGCCTTAAGTTACTAATATAATGATACACAGTGAAGTCTGTCATACACGGTCATGCAAAAAACAACCCAGCTGCTTAACATAGGGTGGTGTACTAATAAAATGGACCAGTAATACGTTCTAACACTTGAGATGCTTCAGGGTGATGGTGGTTTTTTTCAGGGAAAGAATGCTCTAATCATAGAGGCCTCTTCTGTGCTTACCCCTGAGCATTTCTGCCTTGATAAACGCCTTGTCAAAATGCACATACAGTTCACAGCCATCAGGACAAGACTGTACACATTAAAAGTTCCAAAAACCAGCACTCTCTCCTTCTTGGGAAACAGTGTGAATGAATTTTAAATGGGTTTTAATGTGCTGTTAAGATTCTGCAGTACTGGTTCACCCTCCTTATGGTGAGTCACAGAGCCTTGCAAAGCCTTCTCTAGTGGTTTGCAAAGCTTTCACTGACAGAAGCGGGTGTAAAACTGATGGTATTGTGTAAATAATGCCAGGGCAATACACAGCCATTCACAAAGAAGTGAATGCCATGTACAATAACCAGACCCTACTTCAAAAAGTTCAAAGTTATAATTACCCTTTCATTGCAAATCATCACGTGCATGCAATGCAAAACTGAGCAGCAGTACATGTGGATTATTAGGAAATGAATATCAGATGCCCACAGTCCATTAAGTCCTGTGTATTTTACATGGGAAGAGCTTTCTCACTAAGGACTGTCGGGTTTAACATAGTGTATATAATAGAGAATGAGTATTTTATTTATTGCTTTTATTTATTTATTATTGCTTACAGAAATGCCTTCACCATTCTGTGATCTCCATTGAATCCAGAGCTGCTACTTAGATATGGACTGATTTTGAAAAGAGAGAAGAGCCTCCTCTACCACACAGGTACCCCACAACCTGATTAGCTTGTAGAATTTGTTCCTCCCATAATTTCACTCTGGGATTTATGCTACTTTGCCTTTAGTGGCTCATAATGCCACTACGAGGGAATCTTATCTTTTAGTCAGAACCTTCCTGATTATAGGGAAACCATGAAATCATAACTGCAATTTACCTCAAACCTTTAATAATGATGAAAGCAACAACAGGAATTAGAAAGCCAAACAATAGACAAAATATTTGTTGTATTTGTAGTATTTTTGAGCTTTGTAAGTCAGTGGGAGCTTCTGACAGGGCTTTTAGCAAAAAGGACTGTCCACTATCAGAGTTGCTCTCCCTCCTCTCTCCAGGGCAGAAGCTGAGACTGTAGTTGAGAGGCTGCATTCAGCATACATGAAACTTGAATAAATTCGAGTTTTTCAAAATTAAGGGGCAGTCTTTTCGTCAGCATTCGGTAAGTGCAGCAGTGTCATGGGACATCACATCACCCACTTTTACAGAACCCAGGATGATTTCAGCAGCAAGATAAAATAAGTATGTGGTAGAAAAGACACTGGGATTTGGTTCCCACGTGCTCCCGTTCGGAGCTTACTGTGATTTTTGTTTGTTTGTTGCATTTTACATTTTAAATTTTTATTTTTGCATTTGTGCAGCACATCTGGAACCAGTCTGAGGGGACTGTGCTACGCGGGGACAAAAAAATTCCCAAAGCGTATTTGTAGGCTCTGTGTCCGGTCTGGAAAAGCTGCTTTTGTTCCCAAAGGTAGAGTGACAGGTGTATTTGAGATTTTCCGTGCTCCGCCAAACCGCGTGGGCGGTGCTGCGAACCCCCGGGACGGTGCGGCTCTTGTTAACGCGTGTCTTCCTGCGCTAACGGCGATTCCCGAGCGGATGGAGATTTTGATTCTATTTCTTTATTCCCGTGGGCGCTGCCGCTGTGCGAGGAGGAGGAGGAGGCAGGGGTTGTGCAGAAACAGAACTCCCCAGCGCTGCCCAGGGGGTGTTGAGAACACCACGGGCGTGTCGAGAGCAGCCGCCCTCAGAGCCCCGGCTGTGGGCGCGGCCTCCCCAGCGCCGGCCCCCGCCATTGGCCGGAAGCGGCGGGGCGGGGCCGGGGCCGCGGTTTCCTTGGCAACGGCGCGCGGGGGCCCGGCCGGTGCGGCGCGAGCCGGTGGGTGCTGAGGGAGCGGGGGCAGAGATGAGATTGGGAGGGGGAATCACTGCCCGCTCCCGGCCCTGCAGCCGGCATTCTGGGTCCATGGCCGCCCCGGGGCCCGCCTCTGCCGCCCGGGCTGCCGCGCCGCCTCGGGGCCTTCCGCGGAGCGCGGCGCTGCTGGGGACAGGGATGCTGGAGGGAGGGAGGGAGGGAGGGATGCTGGAAGGAGGGAGGGAAGGATGCTGGAGGGAGGGAGGGAGGGATGCTGGAGGGAGGGAAGCCCGGTCCGGGCAGCCGCGGTCCTGACCGCCCCCCAGGTGTTGTCCCGAAATAGGTTCTCTCACCCGGTGCGCGAGAGGCCGATCCTCAGGCACGGGCCGGAGGTATTTGGTTTATTTACAGTTTATTTACAGATTATTTACAGTTTATTTACAGTTCTGCGCAGAAAGGGGCGGCAAATCCACGGCTACTGTCAAAGCGCTTCGCTGTTTGTACGTTTTGGCGAACGAAGGCGTTGATGTTCTTCGGCTGCAAGGTACTTGGCTCTCTTCCTAATTAGCATTCTATCTCCTATCGGTCAGTGCTTCCTTCACTTCTCATGCTAATTATTTCCATGAGTAGTGTTTCTCTTCACGGAGCGTTTGGGCAACACTCTCAGGCACGAGGTTTGATTTTGGGGTGTCCTTGTGCAGGGCCAGGGGTTGGAATTGATGATCCTTGTGGGTCCCTTCCAGTTCAGGATATTCAGTGATTCCATGATAAAGGTTTACGGAGTTTGCTAACAAGCTCCTGGACCAACCTCTATCTTAAATAATTTTGGAACGTGTCTGACATGTAGGCTAAACTGTAGGCTGTCACCTGGCAAAAAAACGAAGGAACCTGTAGCAGCTGTAATTGCTCTAACTCTTCACAGCTGAGGAAAACGATGTGAGAAAAGAGGCAAGAAGTCAAGGGTACCTTTTTTTCCCATTGTGTTCTTAAATAACAGTTGTGCCAACTGTTAGGGCAATTTGCTAGAAAAACATGGCTGTAATTAATATGTTGCTGGGAACTGTTGTGTATTTAGGCTTTTGGATTTAAAAGTGAAGCCCTGCAAGTATTTTCAACTGCTTGTATTTTCTCCTTTTTCATTTTCAGAGTGTCTCCCTTGGTTTTTGTTTTTTTTTTTTGGACCTTGTGCAGAATATATAGATGAGGCTCTTGGTTGGACAAGAAAGTAATGTGTTTTGGAGTAGGGTTTTGTCAGGTTAATTTGATAGTAAACAGCCTTAATCTGCTTTCAGAGTTAGAAAGCAATGTGTTAGAAAACAAATGGGACATGAAGAGAGTTAGGCTGAGGGAATTGCTGTAACTAATGTTGGGCTTGTTTAACATGTTGGTGACTCCGTGTAGCTGTACTGCACAGTGACTGATACGGTCACTACCAGTCTTAAATCAAAATGCAAAGCTCTGAAGAGGATCTGTATTTAAAAAGATCCTGTAAACAAAGGTAGTGGCTTCTGTGACTTTACTAAATGCCAAGTTTTAAAATTGTTAAAAAGTGGTTAATCATCATTTTGTAATTAGCTAGTGAAGAAGTGATACCAAAGACTTGTTATTGATGCTGGCTTTTTTCCTTTTCACCCTCCTGCTATGATTTTCTGGGGTCATTAAGCTCTCAACTTGAGTCATCCAGTGCTGCATGTTTATTCTGTATTGAGAGAAAAAGCAGCCTTCACCACTCCAGGAATTTCCTCTGACTTTAATTAAATGCTGTATTACTGAAGGCATCTCAAATATTTCAGTCGTCTGACTGCTGAAATTGTTTCTGGTGGAATTCCTTCAGGGCAGACAAGGGTTATCCCCTGTGCCCAGTGTGCTCAGCCAGCTGGTGCAAGGGCACACGTGATGGGAGCTCCTCTGAATGTGCCACTGCCGGGTAACTGCAGACAGGAGGTTGGCACCTACCAGACATGTGGGGGAAGGTTATGGTGTGTGGCTTCCTGTCTGCTGGATCTATTTGAATCAACTGCTGCTTGTAGTGAATGAGGACTTCCTAATTTGTACATGTCAATATTGGCTAAACCTCTCAGAATCGGAGTTGGAATTGAATTAACAGAGGGTACTTTATTTACTTTTTTTTTTAATCTTAATTTACTCAACCCTGAAGTAAGTAATGTAGCAGGTGCTGGAGAAGGGAAATACTGTTCCCTTCTCCACAGTAACAAATCCTGGTTTATTTGTTGTCTGGATTATAGGCTCCTGGCAGTCTGAGGCGAAGCGCAGTGGTGCTGCTTCTGTCTGGTGTTGCGTGTGGTGCTGCTCCTGTTGGGGCTGCCCAGCGAATCAGGGCCATGGTGTGACACGGGCAGGCTATAAACAGCCAGCGTGCTTTGGAATCCAGGCCTCTGGCAGTAATCAGCTTAGCCTGCCCGTGCTCAGTGAGCGACGGTGTTTGTGTGGTTGCTCACTCGCACCGGCCCTGGCAGTGTCGGGGCTGCTCGGGACATGCCCAGCCGCCCTGTGCCCGGGCAGCTTTGCCAACAGCCATTTCCAGCTCTGCTTCCCTGACCAGCAGGTGATCCCTGCGCGTCCGAGCCGCAGCCATGGGCCTGTTTGACAAGCTGGCGGGATGGCTGGGGCTGAAGAAGAAGGAGGTTCACGTTCTGTGCCTTGGCCTGGACAACAGTGGCAAAACGACCATCATCAATAAACTGAAACCCTCAAATGTGAGTAGCATCCTCAGGTCACTGCTGCTGCGTGTTTGAAACGGGGTTTGCGTGCTGTTAGACTAGATGTGACCAGGGAAAAGAAAGTTCAGAGTCACTTCTTGATTTAGGACGGTGGAAAAAACATGTCTTAAGAGTTTCCAACTAAAACTAAGGGTAAGCATCCACATGCATACTGTAGAAACTTTTCCCAGAAAACTCACTGTTAATGTGGCACATTTGTTTTT